CCTCTCTTAAATATAGAAGCTGCATAAACTGTGTCCACTAATCAGTTACCAGATCTGGAAACTAATCTATACAAATAAAAGACTTGTACTTAAAGATTTTTAATTGTTCTGATCCAGAGAGTGTAGCAAAGACAAGTGTTTACTGGGTTTTTGTTGTTGTTTTGTCCGTCTTGGACTATATGAGTATTATTGCTAAAATGGGATCTAGGTCAACCACTGTATGAAATTGTTCTTTCATATTTGTTTTGTACTACAAATAAGATATGTGCAGTGTGCATATATCAAAACTACATTTGTATCAAAACTGAGCAAGGGAATACATTACAAAAAGGTTATTTTTAACATATAGAAACATGGAAGGAGACCACAAGGACCATCCAGTTAATGAATTATGAACATGAAATATGAATTAGCCCCTAGCTGGATTCAAAGATAATAATAAAATTTTATTTATAACCCACCCTCTCTCCTCGAAGGGACACAGGGCTGTTTACAGACATAACAAAATGGCAAACATTCAATTTCGAAAACCACAATCAAAGCAAAAATATACAATAAAATTAACTCAATATAACTTATAAACAATAAAAAACAAGGGTTAAATTGCATAAACATAAAGCACATTGAGCCATACCAATTAATATACAATACCTTAAAAGCACAATATAATGTTACAGAACATTAACGAGCTGAGGTAAATATCCATTATCAGGGCAGGAGTATGTATCAGATATGTTTATCCTATTCCTCTCTGTAAGCTAAATTACAGAAATAGGTCTTTATAAGCTTGTTAAAGGAGATGAGAAATGGGGCCATTAGTTCTTTTGGAAGGGAGTCCCAGAGGCAGGGAGCAGCCACGGAGAAGACCCCCCCCCCTCTCATTACCACCAATCATGCTTGAGACGGGCGTGGGACCAAGAACAGGTCCTCCTCAACACACTGAAGTGTTCATGCTGATTTATACAAGGAGATGCATTTTTTTTTTCAAATAATCTGGGCCTGAACTGTTTAGGGCTTTATTGGTAATGACCAGCACTGTGCATTTAGACTGGAAGCAGACTGGCAGCCAGTGGAGCTGCCGTAACATGAGAGTTATCCACTCCCTGTATGGCACTCCAGTTACTAAGCTGGCTGCCAATCTCTGAACCAATTGGAGCTTCCAAACTTTCTCCAAGTGCAGCCCCACGTAGAGAGCATTACAGTAGTCCAAACGGAAAGTAACGAAGGCGTGGACTACCATGGTGTCTCAAAGATCTGTTGCAGGGTTTTGTTTTTTTGCCTAATATGTAGCTAAGAACAGAAGGAAAATGTATTAGAAATCTTTGTCAACAGATGGAAAACTAAAGCTATTTAATAATGTTTATCTGCATGAGTAGTTTGTGCAATCTTAATTGAGATGTATTTCATTTATGAACATTAATGTGAATATTTTGTACCATATGCACATATTTTTAAAAGATCTCTAAAACAGTTGTTGCCTTGTTGGAGAATATTACACCTTCTTGTACAATCTGAAGCTTTTGCCCAACTCGTCTTCATTAAATTCGAATGCTCTAACTCTGAGCTTATAGCTCACCCTCAAAATAACAGTTAATGGTCATGAGGATTGTCATACAGCATATAGAGCTCAAACATACCATAGCTCTTCAACCACCGGTAGGTTTATAGACTTCTGAAATTAAAATTTTAGGTATTGGGCTATCTGATAAATAATCTACATCTTCATGTTGCTGGAAATCAGTGGCTTGGATTTATCCAGGGAACTACATGGATGCCACCTTTTAAGTCCATGATGGTAGAAAGGCGAAATATAAAATGTACTAAATAAGGCTTAAGGCCTTTCTCTGTAAAGGCAGAGCATGCTGTAGGTAAAGGTTTCCCTTTGACATTAAGTCTCTTCGTGTCCGACACTGAGGGTGGTGCTCATCTCCATTTCTAAGCCAAAGAGCTGGCGTTGTCCGTAGACACCTCCTAGGTCATGTGGCCGGCATGACTGCATGGAGCAGCGTTACGTATATTCAACATAAGTGTACAAACCTAGTCTAATTACTTTACTGATTCCAGAGAGGGAGCAGCTTGCCTGCAGAAACACTAACATGTGAAATCTTTACTTCATACATAAATCTTGTTTTTCTTTTTAAAATCATTTTGAGAACAACAGGTTTCAAATCAGTCTCTCTCTAATTTTTTATTTCTTGTAGTTTAAAACTGTATCAATCTGTAAGGTTGGAAGAAGCACTTGTTTCCGTTTACAGTAGAAATTGCATGTTTATGCACAAGCACAAAAAGATAAATATTCATTTTCCTTCTCAAAATAATAACCTTTTGTCCTTCCAACTTTGTAGGAAAGCTATTGGTACCATTTTTGACAGTCTGTATAATTTAATTGAAACAACAAATTAACAGGTTCATCAATTTACTGCTGTCCCAAAACATAAATATTCAGTACATAAGTGTTCTTCACATTGAGTTCGCTTTCAAGCAATTCCCAGGCTGTCTTTACACAGCATGTCCAAAGTTGCACCTCGCCACAAAAGATCATTGTAAAAGAGAAATCCAATCATAAATTGATGCATGGCATAAATAAAAATGTAATGTTAGTTTGTGGGATTAACATAACTCAAAAACCACTGGACGAATTGACACCAAATTTGGACACAATACACCTAACAGACCAACAAGTGACCATCACTCACAAAAACACTGGAAAACACAGTGGAAGAGACTTTAAAGGCCAAAAAAATTACAATTAATGTGCAAAACCACATATATACACATACACACAAATATATACACACACATATATACACACAAAACACATATACACAGACTGGGCCACAGCAATGTGTGGCAGGGGACGGCAAGTACATTTATAAAAGCTTGCTACCCACATGATATTACGCTCAACTGGGGAAAGCAAATGCACCTTATCTAGATACTGGACTGTAGCATCTATGAACTCTAATTTGCCCAGCCAATAGTGAAGGAGTCCAACAATATCTGGAGAACAACAACTGACCATCAGATCCCATGGCAGCCAAGAGTAAGCATGCTTCTTGGTTGTTGGGAGTCCAGACTAGGGGCAGTTTTAACCCTAAAGATACCCCTCATGCTCACACCTGTGGGGCTCTTTGCTTTCTCCTCTATGCGCTTTCTGCAATGAGGGAGAATAATGTGCCATATAAACTTTATCTCGAAAGGAACAGCCACAATATGTCAGGATACTGTACTACTTCTCGTGCGCTACCAAGTTGTTTCCAATCTATTGTGACCCTATAGCTAAGTCATCACATGATTTACTGAGGCTGTGAGTGTGTGATTTCCTCAGAGTTGTCCAGCAGGTTTTTGTGGCCAGGCAGAATTTCTAGAGTCCTATTCCAACACTTGAAACACCACACCAGGTTTCTTCAAAGCAGAAATTTCAGAGGGAGAAAAGGGGTAAAAAAGTATGATAAGAGACAGTGGACAGTAAGCCTGAGGTCAGGGAGCTATTTTGTTGCCCTCTTATTGCAAAGTACAACAGACCATAACTGCACTATATAAATAAATGATCGTCATCATCGTAATATAAACAGAAGTGTGACTGGGTTTTGTTGTCGTGTACCTTCAAGTCATTTCTAACTTATGGCAGCCCTGCCTCCAAAGCCAAGAATGTGTGCCTTGCCCAGGGCCACCCGACCTTTTGGCCAGGACCACCCTATCTCTTGCCCACAGTCACCTGTTCCCTTGCTCAGGGCCACCCTACCCCTTGCCCAAGGTCACCTGACTCCTTACTCAGGGCCACCCTACCCCTTGCTCAGGGACATCCGACTTGCTCAGGGTAGGGTGTCCCTGCTCAGGGCCACCCTACCCCTTGCCCAGGGTCACCCTACTCCAGGGGTAGGGAACCTTCGGCCCTCCAGGTGTGGTGGACTTCAACTCCCACAATTCCTTGAGGCTCGTGTAAGCCTTTGGGGCGAATGCCGAGCCTCAAGGAATTGTGGGAGTTGAAGTCCACCACACCTGGAGGGCCGAAGGTTCCCTACCCCTGCCCTACTCCCTGCCCAGGGCCACCCTACCTCTTGCCCAGGGTCACCCAACTCCTTGCTCAGGGTCACCCTTCCCCATGCCCAGGGCCACCCTACCCCTTGCCCAGGGTCACCTGACTCCTTACTCAGGGCCACCCTACCCCTTGCTCAGGGACACCCTACCCCCTGCTCAGGGCCACCCTGCCCCTTGCTCAGGGTCACTACCCCAGTGCACATGTAGTCAGAACAAAATGGCAGGCGCTTCCTCAGAAGACCATGGTGATCCTGACATTACTCTGGGATGGAGTGGTTCCTAAGGCTCCCATCTACACAGACCATTTAAAGCACTTTCAAAACAGTGGTTTAGTGCTGCTGATGTTTGCATAGGAAACCCTGGAACCCGCTTCAGTTGACACAAACCACAGAGCCCAATGCGTATTAAGGCACTTTGTGGGAGTTTTGTTACCACCGCCACTGCAGCTCGAAGCTAGCTTCGAACTGCATTCAATGGTCAGTGTGGATGGAACTTTAAATCCGATAGTAAGCCTGAGAAGAGAGGACTATTTTAGAGCACACAGTAATGGCACTAGATCAGGCATGAGCAAACTTCGGTCATCCAGGTGTTTTGGACTTCCTCTCCCCAATGTGTGTTAAAGTCCAAAACACCTGGAGGGGGGGGCAAGTTGGCCCATGCACCCCCAAAACCATCCTCCTGACAACGAGCCTTGAATAGATTGAAAAGGGAAGGGACTTTGGTTACTGTGTTGCCTTACACTGGAAGCGACTTGGAGGCAACGCAACAGGTCAGAAATCTATACATTTTTCCGCTACGTTGTATGTTTGTAGAGAGTTGTACGAGGCTGGGCGGCAGGGAGAGCGGTTCTTTGGCCGGGAAAGAGGGGCAAGGGGGCGGAAGGGAGGCGGGGCCCTTGGGTATATAACAGCCCGAGGAAGGGAGGGAGGAAGGGAGAGAGAAAGAGAGAGAGAGGCGGAGATGGTGGCGCGCCTTGCCGGCCAGCAGCGCCCTTGCAAGCGGCGAAGGGCCGAGGATGTGACCCCCGCGGAGAGGAGGCCCGGGCCCGGCCAGGAGGAGCCCCGCGCCCCGGTCAAGAAGAGGAGCCAGCCGGGGGAGAGGGGCGCTTCTCCCCTCCGGGTCTCCTCTGCCCTGGAGCGGCAGGCCTTCCGAGAATACGGGCCCAGCTGGTACCGCTTCCGAAAGGCGCTGGAAGGGCGCTTCCAGCCGAAGGACCCGCTTGCCCTCCAGCCCCAAGTAAGCCAAGACAGTGACAGTGGTCCCCAACCTTCCTCATGTTGTGGTGACCCCCAGCCATAACATTATTTTGGTTGCTACTTCATAACTGTAACTTTGCTAATGTTATGAATCATAATATAAATATTTGATATGCAGGATGTGTTTCCATTCACTGGACCAAATTTGACCCAAATACCCCATACGCCCAAATTGGAATACTGGTGGGGTTGGATTGATTCTGTCATTTGGGAGTTGTAGTTGCTGGGATTTATAGTTCACCGACAATCAAAGAGAATTCTGAACTCCACCAGAGATGGAATTGAACCAAACTTGGCACAGAGAACTCCCATGACCAACAAAAAATACTGGAAGAGTTTGGTGGGCATTGACCTTGAGTTTTGGAGATGTAGTTCACCTACATCCAGAGAGCACTGTGGAATAAAACATTTATTTATTTATTTATTTGTTGTTGTTCATTCGTTCAGTCGTCTCCGACTCTTTGTGACCTCATGGACCAGCCCACACCAGAGCTCCCTGTCGGCCGTCACCACCCCCAGCTCCTTCAAGGTCAGTCCAGTCACTTCAAGGATGCCATCCATCCATCTTGCCCTTGGTCGGCCCCTCTTCCTTTTGCCTTCCACTTTCCCCAGCATAATTGTCTTCTCTAGGCTTTGCTGTCTCCTCATGATGTGGCCAAAGTACTTCAACTTTGTCTCTAGTATCCTCCCCTCCAGTGAGCAGTCGGGCTTTATTTCCTGGAGGATGGACTGGTTGGATCTTCTCGCAGTCCAAGGCACTCTCAGAACTTTCCTCCAACACCACAGTTCAAAATCTATTTATTTATTTATTTATTTATTTATTATTTACAACATTTATATGCCGCCCTTCTCATCCCAAAGGGGACTCAGAGCAGCTTACAAGATATATATATATATATATACACACACACACACACACACATATATATAATATACTAGCCATCCCCTGCCACGTGTTGGTGTGGCTCACATGGGGATTCTTTGTGGGAAAACCCAGTGATCAGTTCTCCTTTGGGTTGTCATAAGGCAGTGTTTCTCAACCTGGGGGTCGGGACCCCAGGGAAGGGGGGGTGGTTACAAGGGGTGTGTGAGAGGGAGGGTCACCTAAGACCATCAGAAAACACAGTATTTTCTGTTGGTCATGTGGTTTCTGTATGGGAAGCTTTGCCCAATTCTATCGTTGGTGAGGTTCAGAATGCTCTGTAATTGTAGGTGAACTATAAATCCCAGCAACTACAACTCCCAAGTGTCAAGATTCTATTTCCCCCAAACTCCACCAGTCTTCACATTGGCATTTATTAAGTATTCGTGTAGAGTTTGGCCCAGATCCATCATTGTTTTGAGTCCACAGTGATCTCTGGATGTAGGTGAACTATAAGTCCAAAAGCAAAGGACACTGTCCACCAAACCCTTCCAATATTTTCTTTTGGTCATGGGAGAACTGTGTGCCAAGTTTGGTTCAATTCCATCGTTGGTGGGGTTCAGAATGCTCTTTGATTGTAGGTGAACTATACATCCCAGCAACTACAACTCCCGAATGACAAAATCAATTTTTTGAGTGAAGGACATACATTGGGTTGTTAGGTGTCTTGTGTCCAAATTTGGTGTCAATTTGTCCAGTGGTTTTTGAATTCTGTTAATCCCACAAACGAACATTACATTTTTATTTATATAGATAGATTATTAGTATAGTACAATATCAGTATTATATATTACTATATTGTACTATACCATTATATAATATTATTTGTAATATTACATGTAATATAAAATATATAATTAGTAGTATTATATTGTATTACATTATACAATATTATAAATATTATATGTATATACAATATATTATATTATATTATATTATATTATATTATATTATATTATATTATATTATATTATTAGCATAGCACAGGAGACAAGGTGGAACTGGCCCCCTCTCTCCTCACTCAGGCCCAGAGTGGCAGTTGGTGCTGAGGGGAGGGGTTCCCAACTGATGACATATGATGACATTGATGGATCTGGACCAAACTTGGCACGAATACTCAATATGCCCAAATGTGAACACTGGTGGAGTTTGGGGAAAATACACCTTGATATTTGGGAGTTGTAGTTGCCGGGATTTATAGTTCACCTACAATCACAGAGCATTCTGAACCTCACCAACGATAGAATTGGGCAAAACTGCCCACACAGAACCCCCATGACCAACAGAAAATATTGTGTTTTCTGATGGTCTTAGGTGATCCCCCCCCCTCACACACCCCTTGTAACCCCCCCCCCCAGGGGTCCCGACCCCCAGTTGAGAAACACTGCCTTTTGACAACCCAAAGGAGAACCGATCACTGGGTTTTCTGGGCAAGATTTGCTCAGAGTGTATTCACTTTAGCTTTCCTATGAGGTTGAGAGAGTGACTTGCCCATCATCACTCAGTGGATTGTCGAAGGCTTTCATGGCCAGAATCACTGGGTTGCTGTGAATTTTCCAGGCTTTATGACCATGTTCCAGAAGCATTCTCTCCTGATGTTTTGCCTGCATCTATGGCAGGCATCCTCAGAGGTTGTGAGATCTCTTGGAAACTAGGAAAATTGGGTTTATATATCTGTGGAATATCCAGGGTGGGAGAAAGAACTCTTGTCTGTTGGAGGTAGACGTGAATGTTTCAATTGGCCACCTTGATTAGCATTTAATGGCCCAGCAGTTTCAAGGTTTGGATTCTTACTGCCTGGAGAATCCTTTGTTGGGAAGTGGCCAATTGAAACATTCACACCTACCTTTGTTGGGAGGTGATTAGCCCAGGCAAGAAACAATCAGGACCAGCTAATCACCTGGCTGACTGATTCTTGTCTGGAATTCTGCAGCTTTTTGAGTGTTGCTCTTTATTTGCTTTCCTAATTTTAAGAGTTTTTAAAATACTGGTAGCCAGATTTTGGCTACCAATATTAAGAAACTCTAAAATCAGGGCAGTGAATAAAGAACAACACTAACCCCCCCCCCCCCCCCCCCCCAAAAAAAAAAACAAAATCAGGGGAATTCCAGACAAGAAACAATCAGGGCCAGCTAACACCTCCCAACAAAGGATCCCCCTATGTAAGGCTTTGAAGCGGCAAGGCCATTCAATGCTAATCAAGGTGATCAGTTGCAACATTCACACTTGCCTCAAGCAGACAGGAGTTCTTTCTCCCACCCTGGACATTCCACAGATACATCAACTTCACTTGCCTAGTTTCCAACAGACCTCACAACCTCTGAGGATGCCGTGCCATAGATGTGGGTGTAATGACAGGAGAAAATGCTTCTGGAACATGGCCATACAGCCTGGAAAACCCACAGCAACCCAGTTTCACTGTTTTGCTATCATATCTCCATATATTTTTTTTTGGTCTTGTTTTCCCAGGTAACTGCAGAGGCCCGGTGCAAGCTGATTAGCTGGCTCATTCCAGTGCATAAGCACTTTGGCTTCTCTTTTGAGTCCTTGTGCCTGGCTGTGAACACGCTGGACCGCTTCCTCACCACCACCCCAGTGGCTGCAGACTGCTTCCAGCTCTTAGGGGTCACCTCGCTCTTAATCTCTTGCAAACAGGTAACAGAATTTAACAAGTCTTCCCTATTGTAGGATTATGACTTGAATTGGATGCTGTAAAAAGTGAAGGACAAACTTTATTAAAACTTGTCTGCAGGGAAGGAAAGCATCTGATGAAAACATTAGGAAACTTCTTTGAAGTCTAAATATAAATTATTCTACTTTAGTTAGGCCTAATTTGAATGGTTAGCTCTTATTGTCGGAGACTCCTTAAATCAATTACACTTACATAAGTGATGGCTTAGCAAATTTTTTCCATGTTTTTGTGCCTCTGGTACCCGATTTTCTGTTAAGGAAGTAATGTCCAGCAACACATCTATTTTGTAAACTGAAATACTGACAAAGGCAAAAACAATAAGAAATGTATTGTTGAAGGCTTTCATGGCCAGAATCACTGGGCTGTTTTAGGTTTTTCAGGCTGCATGTCCATGTTTTAGAAGCATTTTCTCCTGACGCTTTGATTTTAATGTAATAACCATTAGCAGCATGTATACAGTTTACAGACAGTTTTGGGGGTTGCTTTCTGTTTAGAGACTTGTGCCTCAGTGTTGATGCCTGTGTGTCTTTCAGGTGGAAGTGCACCCGCCCAAAGTGAAACATCTCCTGGCCCTTTGCTGCAACACTTTCTCTCGCCAACAGCTCTGCAACCTGGAGTGCATCATTCTGAGCAAGCTTCACTTTAACCTGGCAGCCCCTACCATCAGTTTCTTCCTGGACTACTTCACTCACATGCGGATAGAGGCTTGTGAGGCGGATGCCTGGGAGGCCAACTGTGCCAAAACTTTGGCAAAAGGAGTGGCTGAACTTAGCCTGGCTGACTATGCTTTTAACAAATATATGCCTTCCTTGCTGGCAATTTGCTGCTTGGGATTGGCTGACCAGATGTTGCAACATCAGAAACCACTGGACTTGAAGATAAGTGACTATTCTGAGGGAGAAATGCAAGATTGTATGGACAAGCTGCATTTACTGGTGTCTTTGAATGAGGATTCTTTGCCTCTAGTACTACCCCCTGAGATTTCAGATCAGTATCTGCATTTAGAAAAATGAGTTAGCTAACCAAACAAACAAAAAATACTTGAAGCTCTGTGTGTGGACATGAATTTGGAAGGGGTTTTTTTGTTGGTCTATTTGCCAATGCATGTATAGAAGGATCACATGTAATACCTCAAAAGTATTTGTTTTGTACTTTTACTAAATAGTCAACAAGTTTTACATGGTATTTATATTAGTAGTGGAAGCTATAATACTGGTTTAAAATATAATAAATTAAACAATGGCTTCTCTAACCCTTTGAACATCATTTTAGATTCTATTTTGCACAGTAGACTTGTTGTATATTGCACTAATATTATTTTAAATAATAGGCTGGAGTTGTAAACAATGTATATATTCTGCCTGTACTTATTTATTGAGATTATAGTTTATTACTAAGCCATTCATCTAATAAAGTTTCTATCATTAATAATTTGCAGAAGTGTGTTGTATTATTTTCAGTGTACTCTCATGAGAAATTGTGCTAATTGTATAATTTTGTGTAGAACATAATTGGTATGTCCCTCTGTGCTCAGGGTGTACGTTACCTGATACATATATTTATGATTGTAGCTTTAGGATCATAACTAGATTTTGGCAGCAGACTCACAATTTAGGCCCTATCTACACTGCCATGTAAAATCCAGATTATCTGCTTTGAACTGGATTATATGGCAGTGTAGTCTTATATAATTCTGTCTGATAACCAATATCAGAGCAGAAAATACAGGACACAATGGACAGTTATAATCATGTTTCTGTAATACTGACTACCTAAAGACTTCTATGTTCCTTTATTGTAAGAGGACATACACTTGGAGCTTCTAATTTGGAATTTAAGCATTTTATTTATTTATTTATCTACTATATATTTTACCCCGCCCCTCTCACCTTGGAGGGGACTCAGAGCAGCCTTACCAACAGGCAGCAATTAGATGTCATGTGAACAAACACAGTAACAATAAACATACACATTAAAATACCAAATTAAAAAACAGTATAAAACATGAAAAACCAGTTATTAAAACCACATAATCCATAATCATAGTCAAGGCCATTCCAGTCATGACTGCACATATTCCATCTTCACTTATTGCACTGTTTCTATCCAAAGGCTTGGTCCCAGAGCCATGTTTTTACTTTCTTTCTGAAGGTCAGAAGGGAGGGGGCTGACCTGATTTCATTGGGGAGAGAGTTCCATAGCTGAGGGGCCACCACTCAGGCCCTGTCTCTCGTCCCCACCAACAGCACTTGCGAGGTGGTGGGACTGAGAGCAGGACCTCCCCAGATGATCTTAATCTCCAAGATGGTCCATAGCGGGAGATACATTGGGATGGGAAAGTTGGGCCAGAACAGTTAAGGGCTTTATAGGCTAAAGTCAGCACTTTAAATTGTGCTCAGTAGCAGACACATCAGCAGCCAGTGGAGCTGACGTAACGGGGGTTGTATGCTGTCTGTATGCTGCTCCAGTGAGGAATCTGGCTGCCTCCTGTTGGACCACTTGAAGCTTCCAAACAGTCTTCAAAGGTAACCCTATGTTGAGTGTGTTGCAGTAGTCTATTCAGGATATAACAAGAGCAAGGACCACTATGGCCAATTCTGGCTTCTCAAGGTACATGTGCAGCTGGTGCACAAGTTTTAATTGTGCAAAAGCTCCCCTGGTCACTGCTGAGACCTGTGGTTGTAGGCTCAGTGATGAATCTAGGATCACTTCTAAGCTGAGAATCTGTGTTTTCAGGGGCAGTATAACCCCATCCAGCTGTAACCCTATACCCTGTTCATCCTTATGACTGACCAGGAGTACCTCTGTCTTGACGGGATTCAATTTCAATTTGTTCGCCCTCATCCAGATCTTTACAGCTGCCAAGCACTGGTTTAGGACCTGAACAGCCTCCTTAGCAGCAGGTGGAAAGGAACGACAGAGTTGGACATCATCTGTGTATAGATGACATCAAACTCCAGTGGTTTCATTTTACAGTTCCATAGCACACAAGTGGTATTTTAGGAAAGTGAAAAATAGGAAAAATATATCACATTTTTACCTATATAGTGCAGCAGGTGAAGCACTTAAGACCAAAAAGGTATAGTATTAGGAAAAAAGTGAGTTTGCTGCCCTTTCAGTCTGGCCCTATCTCAAACATGAGCTGAATTCAAATTCTTCTCCCTTCTAGCTTCTACTTAATATGAAAAGACAGCATCTAAGATCTGAAGGTGAATTTTTTGTGCTCCCCTTCCTGATAAAGACTAATCCTTTGAAATATATATACACATCAAAAAGCATAAACACAAAGTAGCAATAAAAAGACTAGAGGTGGGGACCTCATTCCAAATGCTCTTCACATTAAAACAGATCAACAAACAAAATAAACTTCTGCAAGTTGAAAACTAGCAAATCAAGGTAAAACACAACCCTTGCCTCTTTTGCTGGTTTTCTCTTTGCAGTGAGATTTTTTAAAAGAAGGAAACACTGACTTATTAAAAAAGTTATTTCCTGGTGCAAGCCTTTCTTCTATTTCAGATCTTCCACATTTTTCTGTATGTGTTCTCTAGATAGCCAACAATAACACCACTTAAGCAAATAAAAAAAGGTTCATTCGGTATAATCTAGTGATTAGAGCATTGGACTATAGTTGTGGAGACCAGAATTCGAATCCCATTTGGTCACGAAATCCACTGGGTGACCATGGCCAGCAAAACTCTCTCAACCTCTGAGAAAGGCAATGACACACGTCTTCTGAACAAAGCTCAACAAGAAACCCATGTGGTTGGGCCTCCATAGGTTGGAAACAACTTGAGGGCAACTTGTTTTCTGCTGTTCTGGAGACAAGGATGCGGAGCAATGGTTTCAACCTACAGGAAAGGAGATTCCACCTGAACAGGAGGAAGAACTTCCTAACTGTGAGAACTGTTCAGCAGTGGAACTCTCTGCCCCAGAGTGTGGTGGAGGCTCTTTCTTTGGTGGCTTTTAAACAGAGGCTGGATGGCCATCCGTTGGGGGTGCTTTGAAGGTGTTTTTCCTGCTTCTTGGCGGGGGATGGCCTGGATGGTCCACTAGGTCTCTTCCAACTCAATGATTCCATGATCTTTAAGTAATATAGTGACCAGGGAATTTACATGTGCTTGAACTACATCTTTCTTTTTTGTAATTTCTTAATATACAGAGGCTGTTAAATTGAACATGATTTATTGAAAAAAATATATTGAATGACTTCCAAAACCAGTATCAGAACTATTTCTGACTGTGAGAGCTGTTCAGCAGTGGAACTCTCTGCCTCGGAGTGTGGTAGAGGCTCCTTCTTTGGAGGTTTTTAAACAGAGGCTGGATAGCCATCTGTCAGGGGTATTTTGAAGGCGATTTTCCTGCTTCTTGGCAGGGGGTTGGACTGGATGGCCCACTAGATCTCTTCCAATGCAATGATCCTACCCATTACACCAGGGAATGAATCCACTTTAAATCTGATTGCTGCCTCTTGCAGAATTCTGGGGTTTATAGTTTAGGTAGGAATCTTTAATAATCTCACTAAACTACAAACCCCAGAATTCTGCAGGAGGCAGAAACCAGATTTAAAGTGGATTCATTCTCATTCTTAACCTGGGTGTTGAGGGGGTTGTCAGAGGGGTTGCCAATTACCATCTGAAAACACAATATTTTCTGTTCATGGGGGTTCTGTGTGGGAAGTTTGGCCCAATTCTATCATGGGTGGGGTTCAGAATGCTCTTTAATTGTAGGTGGACCATACATCCCAGCAACTACAACCCAGCAACTACAACTCCCAAATGTGGACTCCACCAGTGTCCACATTTGGGCATATTGAGTATTCGTGCCATGTTTTGTCCAGATCCATTATTGTTTGAGTCCACAGTGCTTTCTGGATATAGGTGAACTACAACTTCAAAACTCAAGGTCAATGCCCATCTTTGCAGTATTTGCTGTTGGTCATGGGAGTTCTGTGTGCCAAGTTTGGTTCAATTCCATCATTGGTGGAGTTCAGAATGCTCTTTGATTGTAGGAGAACTATAAATCCCAGCAACTACAACTCCCAAATGACAAACATCAACCCCACCAGTATTCAAATTTGGGTGTATCAAAAATGTGTGCCAAATTTGGTCCGATGAAAAGCCAGGATTTTCGGGGGGGGGGGGGTTGAATTTTTTTCAGGGGGGAGTTCGGGGGGGGGGCTGAGTGTCGGAGGGGGGGCTGAGTCTGAGTGAAATACCAATACCCCATGCATATGGGATATATTGAGTATGGTGATCAGATCATGATATGAATAAACATAACAGTTTAAATAATGCACCAGTAAGGCCTTTTCGCGAACCACCATGAGAATTTCGGGGGGGGGGCTGAAGCCCCCCGAGCCCCCCCCCCCCCCCGCTACATGCCTGGTCCAGTGAATGACAATACATCCTGCATCTCAAACATTTACATTACAATTCATAACAGTAGCAAAATCACAGTTATGAAGCAGCAACGAAAATGTTATGTTATGGTTGGGGGTCACCACAACATGAGGAACTGTATTAAGGGGTCACGGCATTGCGAAGGTTGAAGGTGTGATTTGAGTGCTGCTGGGGCCTCACCAAAGCTACAATTCCATGGCATGGAGCAATTGTGAAAGTGATACCAAACAATGTGGGGTTTCCTCCAGGAGCGAAGCTGCAGGTGCTCAGCTATCTCCAGTTGTGAAGAGCAGAGGGAAGATGCTCTGCCCGTGTTGGGAGGCATTCTCCCCTTTCCACCCTGGAAGCGAGGTCTTGCCGGGGGAGGGGGAGAGGGATCCCTGACACAAAGGGAGTTGGGATTTGTTACTCCTTGGAGACTGAAGCCCAAAGCCCCGTCGGTTGGCGGCGGCGCCAATGTGCAAGGAAAAGGCGCAATTCGGTGCGGAGCGGCGGGCGAGAGCCTGATGCGGGCAAAGGGGAGGGAAGGGCTCGGTTGCGTTGCCAGGCTGGCCCCTGCCTGCCTGCCTGCCTGCCTCTTTGCCTCCTTGCCAAGGCGGAGGAGTCCAGGGCCCGCCTTCGCCCCCGGCTTTCCCTCTTCCCAGCTCCGCTCCTGCCCAGCCCATCCGTCCTGGCCCCAGGCGAGGGAAGGCAAGCCATGCAGAGCCACCGCAGCAGCAGCAGGCAAGCCTGTGGCGACCTCTGTCCCAACCGGGTGCAAGATCTGGCCCAGAGGCTGGTGGGCAAAAGGCCGGGCAAAGGAGAGAGGAAGGTGCGTTCATCACCGGGGGAAAGGAGGAGAGGAGGCAGGAGAGAAGCCCAAGAGCGCATCTGCACTGGAGGACTCAGTATTTATTGACCCTTTTCTGCCCCCCCCCCTTCCAGGTGTTTTGGACTCCAACTCCCACTATTCCTAACAGCCTCAGCTCCCTTCCTTTCCCTTGGTCATTGGTCTGGGTCGTAGTGGTCTCAGGAAGTGAGTGAAGGTACTGC